ATAAAAACATTTGATTTGCCAACTTTGGCACGTGGCAGGTCCTTCGAAGTCAGGCGAGTTATCCCAGGACTGGCTGAGAATGCGCAAGCAAATCGCAGATAAAGCCAACGCGTAAATTAATGGGCGGCACGTGTCACTTGCTGCTCAGGGATTGAATTGGATTGGATGGTTTGGGATTGGTTTGGCTTTGGATTGAATAGATTGAATGGCTGGACACGCTGGGTGGTCGGTGGTCCAGGGTCTACTATTACAGCATGTGTGGGAGCAGCTTATGGCTGGCAAATTATCGCCTCTATATGATGCCAAGTGGTGACCCCCAGTGTGTGTTTGCTCTGCGGCTGATAATTGAGGCGTAAATGTCGGCACACGTCCGGACACCAGGCCGCCGCTCGTCCGGGACTTAAGTTGATACATTGTTGTCATACCCACAGTGGAGTTTATGGAGCGGATTTATTCGCAATCCCAGCAACGATTACTCCTTCCTCAAGTGCACTTCCCCCGGAGTTTTAGTGGCCTGCCATAGCACACAATGTTGATGATAACCCTATCAAATTTTGAATACCGACAGCAGCTATAAGGATGCAGCTCATTGTCGAGTCCGTAAAAAGTTAATAAACCCTTCAAGTATCAATGGCTGCGAACAAAAGAAGGCGTCCATAAACAAAGGCGAGCTTTTGATTTTCCAGTTGACGTTGTGGTTTCAAAGTGCCGGGCCAAACCTTTGACCATATGCGCCAAAAATATTGCTGTATTTATACCGCAGAGGAGTTTTTTAAATGGTATTATATATTCATAAAACATACATAAGAATACCCTATAATACTCTGTAATATTTAAAAACTTGTGACTTAGTTAAAATAGTAAAAACTCTTTTAAAATTAGAAATCAATGGTTTTCTGACATATTAATTATAAATATACCATCAGAAGAATATTTCAATTTAAAATCCTTATTTTATTCAAAACATCTGTTCATAAAGCTATGGTTTTAATTTTCTATAATTGTTTACGAGTAACTTGAGCCTCTAAATAATTAGAGGCTACATTCCTTTAAGAAAACCACAATTAGGCATATTTTCATACTTCCCAAAAGGGCATCAACAGCGAACGCTTGAAGCCACCCCAGTGAAGGATATTTATACAATTCAAAATCACACCACCAAGTCGGGGATTACTGGATGGATTTGCAGGGGACGCCTGGCATATGGCCACTTGGCAGCACCAAAGAATCGGTCTAACAAAGCCAAAAGATGGGTTAACAATTGTCAAATAACCGCAGGACATGCACATGAGTGCATCGCCGTTTGATTGCCAAGCATGTGTGTGCGAAAGGATAACCAAAGGTGGGATATGATGGGCAGTTGCTTTGATCCTTGATTGGACTGGGTCCACTTGGGGGCGCATCTGGTCGAGTGATTGATGGCCAAGACACAGATTCCCGCATTCCGCATCAGCGATTGCTATAATCGAGTCCGCAGTCCAGAGTCTGGGGAACGGGAAGAGCTCCAGCTCCAAATTAAATGGTGTCAACTTTGCGGGGAGGACACCATAAAAACTGATGACCATAGCAGATAAAATGTTTTTTTATGTTATTGCCCTGCGCTGCGGCCAAGCCGCAGAGAAGCCGCAAAACAATATTTAAATTTCAAAAGTTGCCACTGTGTACTAGTTAAATGAAGCAGAAGCAAGATTGTTGTCACAGAGAAAACATTTTGAATCTGCGTTTTGCATAGAGGAGCTGAATGGAGGGCCAGCATAAAAAATCTACAAAAACAGGGGAAATATAAATGTTTAAGTTGGCAAGGGGGATGGTCCACAAATATATAGTTAGCACTCAGGGCCGGCCACGCCTCCCAAATCGAATTGACACCCATGGCGGGCACATTTTGGAAATTGATCCCAGGGACGTGCGGCACACAACTCTCCAAGTTGCACTCATAAATCATAAATCAATAGGAGAGAAAACCCTCGAAGGCAAAGGAAAAACCTCTCCCCTTCTGCGAATGACCCGGCTAATGATGTCTTAAAAAACGATTCGGCAACTGGTCATGTGACAGCAAATGGGGGCCATCGATGTCCTCAGGTCAAACGCATTATCAAAATTGCCGTTTCAGCTGCCGAGGAGCTGCGCGCCAGTCTGGGAAATTGAATTTCCACGACCCAAAGTGGGCAGCATTGGGCAGAGTAACAATATTTTTCCAAATCGGCTTTAAGTCATGAAAAGTAATAGACAACCCTCGGTCGCCGTAAAAAGCAGATTGCGAGGCGCGTCAGCCGGAGAGCCAGGAGACGATTGTGGAACACATGCTGTGCGCATATGATGACTGACGATGGCGATGATGAGGCTGGGCCGCTTATCACAAGGGAACAGGCACACGCACGGGTGGCGCAAATCCGGGAGGAGCTGGCGGGCCAAGCAACATGTGAAGCCGGAGGATACTAAGCCCCCGAAACATGTTTATACTCAAGTCATTAAATGTCCAGGATAGGCTTCAAATTGAATAGGAGGTTTGGTTGGAAGAGTCTTCAATGGACATGGCTTTGCTAACAAGAATTTATAATAACAATGTTTTTATAAAATATTTTATGAGGCTTTGAATAAGACTTGTGGTCACCCATTATAAAAACACTACCTTTTCAAAAAATATTTCTTTTTAAGGCATCGGTTTATGTTTAAAAACCAAGTTCAAGCCTAGACAAGGATAGATTTCTAAGCACCCGCCGGACTTAACCTAGTTACTAAAAACACTAGGGCTCTGCGAAGAACGAATATTATGGTTTTTTTTATGACTTTAAATGTAATAAAATAAATAAATGTAATAAATAAAATAATTCTTATTCACCTTGATCAAAAACGTTACGAAAAAAGTTTCTATACAAAAGTGACCAACATTTACATGGAACTCTCCATTTTAAATATTATGATTGAAGAATTTCTAAGCGTCCTGTGAAACGTCAAACATTTTTCTTCAAAATACGCAAGAGAAGAACAATTTTCGTGTACCTTTTCCTTCCCAAATAGCACAAACAAGTAGAATAATCAACGATTGAATTTTAAATAATTATTTAACTTACGTTTAGGCTAACTATATCATAACTACTCCACATCGTCCGGTATCTCCGAGTCCTCAATCGTTCGCGTGGCTGGTATGTACACTTTGAAGGCGAACTTGGACTTGACAAAGGAGCCGGTATTGAGGACAGTGCACCCGTGTTGATTGCTGCTAAAACTCTGGCACGAGTCCCCCATAACTATTAGATCTGGCAGTGGATACAGCCACAGGGCTGGATCGTAGTCCCAGTGCACGGGCATGGCAATGGGATGAATGGGCACCAAATGACCCTGGCACACAATGGTTCTGGCAAAGTGCTGCTCTATCTGCGACGTATCTTCGGGGAAATGCAAGGTGTTTCGGCAAAACTTGGCCATCAAGTCCAGCCGGCAAACAACTATCTGCTGGGTGCAGTACTGCAGGCGGCAGGGATTCGTAGCCAGCTGGGTTCGTGGCCAGGCCTTCAGCAGTCCCGCTGCCAGGCATTCAGGAATAGGGGCACGAGGCAGAATATTTGGAGCCGTGGGATCTTCTGATGAAGGAACAAGTATCAGATCTGTTTGCTTCTTCAGCTGCTCGCAGCCGGCTGCCAGGCCACCCAATGCATCTAGGTGATGCCTAAGCTCGTGATGATTCCTTGTGCTGGCCGTGAAAGGTCCCATGAGTACTATAGCCTGCGGCGGGCAGGAGTCGTATCCCACAAACAGCTGCCGCAGCTTGTCCATGACCACGGGCAGATCCAAACGGACATCGGATAGGAAAACTATGGTCGTTTCGGTGTTGGTGCGCTCCAGTTCCTGCAGACGGGGTGAGTACTTTAGCAGCTTGCTGGACTCACCGCCCCAGGTGTTTGCGGTACCGAAAAAGGCTCGACTGCTGGTTGCGGGTTCCGCGGGTGGAAAGCCCAGGCCATCAACTAGGGAGAATATATATGTTATATAGCCGTTTCATATTTCTGTATACATACCCTTGAGTATCCCATCTTTATAGTTTCCCTCAGCCAGGACAAAGCAGCCCTCGCAGAAAAAACCAGCATGGAAACGGGCACCAGTGAGATCCAACTGAACACAGCCGGTGGGATCCTCCACATAGAACTTGCCCTCCTTCAGCTGAGTAAGCAGACCCAGAACGACGGCCTCCTTTACCGACGAGGTGGCCAACAGGTTCTCCGCAAACTGAAGCTTGAACTTTTTGGCCTGGGCCTCGGCGCCAACGCCATCCTGGATGACAGCAGGTGCAAATAGGTCATGTCGCTGGGTTTTCTGGAGCAACATGGCATAGCGCTGCTGCATGTAGTCCGATTTCATGCGAGGAGCGGTGAGCAGCTGGCGCGGCTGAGAGTCCAGTTCGAACTTCTTGACCCGCTGATTATAGCGATATCGAGGCACCGTGAAGGCATCTATCAGGGCGAATACCGTCTCCCCTTCGTCCAATCCCACCCGGTTCAGTTCATTGATGGCCTTTTCCAAGGCTGCCCGCTCCACATGAGGCGTCAGTAGTTTCTGGCTCTGCAGATTCTCGGTGATCACCGTCAGCCATTTGTCCCGTTCGGCGGGGTCGAAGGGCAGAAGCTGCTCCGCCAGGTAGGAACTGTTCTCGGAGCGGATCAGGAAGCCACATAACTTGAAGGTGTTTGTTATTCGCTTCCTCAACGGCAGCAAATCTGCATCCATTGTTATTGAAGAAATTCGCGCGCAAATTAGAGATGAGACTTAACAGGTATATCGATCACTCGATATGTCTTTGAGATTAGTGTGACCAGACTGAGCGGACAGCAAAAATACCGTACTGAAATAAAGATTTTGTCGGTAACTATCGATATATTTGGCGGTAAAAAGAATTGGTTCAACAAATGGCGGGTTTTAATTTTGAATTATTTTAATAATACCTATTTTTATTAAGGTGTAGGAAAAGTTGGCGTTCAACGATTTCCACTTTTGTTTGATAAATTTTTTTCCTGATTCGACGAGAAAATGCCGACACAAGATTGTGAAAAATATGAGGACTTCCTGCAAGTAATCGGAGAATTCGGAACCTTTCAGAAGCGACTGCTCCTTTGGATGATGCCCGTCGCCTTTATTTTTTCATTCACCTACTTTGGGCAGATATTCATGATTCTCGTGCCCAAGAAACACTGGTGCAGGATTCGAGAACTGGAGGATCTGCCCATTGAGGAGCAAATTGATCGGGGCATACCCAAAAAAGAAGATGGCGATTTTGAAAGGTGTTTCATGTATAATGTCCCCTTGGATTCGGATACGACTAACATGACCAACCAGACTAGGACCAAGATATCATGTAACAATGGTTGGATTTACGATCGTGAAGAGATTCCCTACGAGTCCATTGGAACTGAGTGCAATTGGGTGTGCGATAAAAAGGAGCTTGGCACCTACACCCTCATCGCCTTTTTCTTAGGATCCGTTGTGGGTTGTCTTTGGCTAGGATACGTCGCTGATCACTATGGTCGCTTGGTGGCCTTATTCCTGGCAAATTGCTGCGCCTTGATTGGCGGTCTCGTTAGTGTGGTGTGCAAGAACTTTTACTGCTTTGTTTCCAGTAGATTTGTGGCGGGAATGGCAATGCTAAACTGCTTTATGTGTTTTTATATTCTAGGTGAGTACTTTAATTTCCGTGCCTTTCTCAATCACTTTTATTTAAACAGTTCTGGAGAATGTTGGCGTTAGATATCGTACTCTGATTGGAAATTTATCCTTGGCAATTTTCTTCACTTTGGGCGCCTGCACTCTTCCTTGGCTGGCGTATGCCATCAAGAATTGGAGACACTATGCGTTGGTCGTTTCACTGCCAGTGTCCTTGGTTATTTTATTGTGTTTCCTGCTTCCCGAATCACCCAGGTTAGTTTTTAACTACCTAACCTAAGCTGGCTTAAAAAAATGATTGATTTAAAAAAGCAGAGCTGAAATTATCCCAAATTAGGAATTGAAAAGAAGTTTTTGAAATCGAGAGCAAAGTGCTCTTTATTTTGATTTCGAGGCGAAAGTAGTCTCGCAAATCGAGAACACATCATCTCCATTTGAAGAATGTTTATCATTTTTGACATCAATAAATCGGCTAAGAGAATTTCTTATTTCTTAGTGTATACCTTTAACTTGTTTTTTCATTGCAGTTGGCTCATTTCTGTGGGAAAGGTGGAAAGAGCAATGAAGGTCCTGAGAAAGGCGGCCAGGACCAACGGAAAAACCATTTCCGAAGAAGAATGGACAGAGATGAAGCAATGCTTTGAGCTCAAATTCGCCGATGGGCGATCGAGCAGAAAATACACCTGCCTGGATCTCTTCAAGAACTTTCGCAGGTTTGTCGTTATTACGATATTGGTCATAAGTTGGATGATCGTGGCTTTGGTGTACGATGCTCATGTTCGGGTGGTCGAACTATTCCACACCGATGTCTTTATTACCTTTTCTCTGGCCTCGCTTGTGGAAGCCCCGGCAGGAATTTTGCCAATCTTTCTGGTAGATCGAATTGGTCGCAAACCCATAGTGACCGCTTCGTTGCTGTTGTGTGCGGTATCAAGTCTGTGCACTGGCTTACTGAAAAGCCAATGGGATGTCACGATAGCGGCAATTGTAGCCAGATTTTTCGCCACAGTTGCGCTCAACGTGTGCCAACAGTGGGCCTCTGAAATCCTTCCCACTGTGGTGCGCGGACAGGGACTGTCTGTCGTCAATGTTATGGGTCAGGCTGGTGTCATGATATCCCCAATTGTTATTTACACCCACCACTATTACCGTTCTTTGCCTATGTTTATAGTCACATTACTTTTGGTAATCGGCGCTTTAGCAATCCTAGTTCTACCAGAGACCATGAATGCTACACTGCCTGAAACTCTGGAAGAAGCGGAAAAACGGTGGATATTAAGTTGTAGAAAACGAAAAATTAAAGATGATCAATAAAATAATAACTTATTTTTTTTCAATTATTAGAGGTCTCAAAACTTCTCAATATTAATGTTGTTTTATATGTGATATAATATAAATTGAAAAATTTCATAATTTCGAAAATAGCGCTGATTTTTCGATAAGTGAGCATCAAAGTTTCACCCCATGGTTCGAGTCTGCGGAAGACATGTAGTATTTTTTGTTCGGTATATTCGATGGTTTTTTTTTACTGCATACACTACGGTCACATCGCGCAGCACGTGTAAAAAATTGAAACCGAATTTTGCTGTTTATCCCCACAAAATGGATGTTGTTAAGGAAGTTTTAGCCAAACACCAAAAGGAATTGGACAAATACAAGCCGATCACAGTAGAAAAGCATCTAGAATGTCGCCTGGACGTGGGCACCCTGCTGATCACAGATCCCAACGACTTCGATGACCGGGAACTAAGGTAAGCAATGAGGATTTGGCGAGGATCACAGATTTTTCACTGATTATGGTTGTTTTCAGGGACAACAAGGAGGAGTACCTGACCGCACTAACGCGGGAGAACACCCAACTCCTGGTTAATGCCATCTGGGAACTACCCACGGAGCGGGTGGACGAGAGCATTGTGGCCAAGCTGCCGGAACCCACGACCGTGTTGCCCCGTCTCCGAAAACCTCCAGGTCCCCGTCCCCTCACCAAATGGGAGAAGTTCGCCAAGGAGAAGGGCATCAGCAAGAAGAAGAAGGACAAGAAGACCTACGACGAGACCATGGATGCAAGTTTAACCTCTTTAAACTTTAGAGTTACCCAAACTAATTCCTTGAATCTCTACAGAAATGGGTTCCCACATATGGTTTTAAGCGTGCCGAGGCCGAGAAGGCCAAGGATTGGGTGCTTGAGGTGCCACAGAACGCCGATCCCAATACGGACATGTTCCAGAAGAAGATCGACCTGCGCAACGAGAAGGTGGCCAAGAACGAGATCCAGCGCATGAAGAACATTGTGCGGGCCAAGAGGATCGACATGCCGCGCAGCGGTTACCTGGGACCTGAGGCTGCCTCCTCTAGTCAGCTCTTGACCGCCGTGACTGTGGCCAAATCCTCGACAGCCTCTGTCGGTAAATTCCAAAACAAACTTCCCAAGGAGAAGGAGGCTCGTGGTCTGGGCATCAAGGAGCTGATTCCTGGCGGCAAGCGCAAGCAGTCGCATATCACAGAGACGCCCGAAAAGGAGGCCAACCTGGATCTCATCAAGAGCGTACTGAACAAGAAGCCCAAGCTGGACGTGAGCAAAGCGATATCGATGGAAAAGCGCGACAATCGTTTGGCGTAAGTAAAACACCTGGCTATTATTGAATCCAGTATAATTAAAACCTTTATTTGCTCAACAGACGCGAGGCAGAGGGTGAAAACGAGCCTGTCAAGAAGGGCAACAAGAAGCCCAAGGGCAAGGGCAGTCGCAAGGCGGTGGGCAAGAAGTCCAAGGGCAATCACGGACAGAGGGCTCCGGGCAAGAAGGCTCAGGCCGGTCGCAAACGTCGCTAGAACGTCTATTTTACATGCCTTAGGACATTTTAATTAACGGAAAACACTTTACACTTATGCTTAATAAATCTTAGACATAAGACAAAACTATGTTCGATAAAAACGTAAATTCACTGGAGACGTGTGCCGTTTTAGGTATTGGTAAACAAAGTTACGGAAAACACGGTTGAAATTGCGTTTGGAAGGCCAATGCAGATTGGCGGCGTTGTCCCGAGGTGTGTGCCAAACGTCTGGGAAGGGAGTGGCCACCAAGTGCAGCACAGGAACATCTGCGTGGGAATGCACTTGATAATTATGGTCAATTAGACGGCAAGCAAATCAAACTTACTCTCATCTAAGAACGGACGATGATCATCATCGACCAAACCGCCGCTAACCCGATTTAAGAACATATTGTTATTGCCCTCTAGCTGACCAGCGGAGCGCAGGGACTTCTCAATCTGCACAAGACTGGAATGCAATCCATGGGTGTTTTCATAAAAACTTGAGAATTTTGGATTCTTTGCCCCAATGAGATCCAGCAGCACCAGCACTTCCTGTTATTGAATTAATTTTAGCAAGCTGATAATTCTTATTAAGGTCATTGACTTACAATTCGATCTATGTTTCGTGGGGCCAGTTGAACTTGGCTGGCACTCTGAGAGCCACTGCGTGTTTTAGCCAGTTTGGATGCCAGGTGCTTTGAGCCATATACTGAATCAGCATTGGTCCATTCCTTAAAGGCTTCCTCGCCATCGAAGAATATGAGCTGGAATTAGATATATATCATTCAACATGAAATGAAGGAAAGGTCTATGTCCCAGTTCTCGGACGACTAACTCCCAAACTTGATCATACAATTTTATACAAAGAAAAAACTTGTTTTCGCATACAGTTTTTATGTAGGGAGTTCCATGGAAAATTTATGAACTGTCAAGGTCTATTATAACAGCCGCTAATACAAGCCACTTACCATAAGTCCCACGTCGTTGCGATTTAGAAACTCTTTCTGTAAATACCCGCTCAGGGTCTTTGCCGTGTTCAGCAGAATTGCACAGGGCACTGCGGAATCCGTGGCCCCCACAAATCCCGGATCATTGGAGAAGTACTTGCTGTCGTAGTGGCAGGCCAGAGCCAGGAAGTTCTGGGCTTGGGGATTTATGGTACCCACAACATTGGCGAACGTAAGCTCTCCGAGAACTGGAACTCGCTGCTTGAACTCATCCACTTCCGTTTGAAAGCCAAGGCCGCTCAGCGATTGTACCAGGTACTCGCGCACCTGCTCGTAATGTTAATTTTATAATACCAACTGTATGGTGTTTTTCAAACTTTATCACCCACCTGTTGATGCCCCCGACTGCCAACGACGCGTGGCACCAAAATTGAGTCCAGGGTACGGTTGAAATGGACCTCATCGTCGCGCCACTGGGATCCAATCTGAAATGTTGGTTAGAGATATAGGTGGGTTTTTTTTCTTGGAAACTTTACCATCTGTGATTTCCCAAGTGAGTCACAATGGTTATGATTGTTTTCGAGGGGGGAAGACTTACGTTCCCCGATGGAGCTTGTTGTTTCGAGGGCGTTACGAGGAGGAGCAGCAGGCCGGCTGCGGAAAAAACTACGGAACCGATCCCCATCTATACGCTTTGGAGCTTGGCGACACACTAAAGCGCGAACGACGCCAGAAAAATCGATCTTTACCGTAGTTTTTTTTTGTGATTACGATGCTGATGGCTTTTGTTTTCGTTTTCCGTTGCCTCTTTGGCGGGCAAAATTATTTCGAAAGCTTTGGGCCTTGTTTTGAGAGAGGTTTTCGAAGAGTCGATAATGTTGCGAGAATCCATACAGCTTTTAAGCCAACGGTCGTTAGGGAAAAGTGTGCCTGGAATCGCAGCGATCGCGATTAATTGCCAATGATAATAATAATTAACTTAGTTATTATACACAACAATCACATAATGTTTTAATAATGACTAGCTTTATTTAACACTTTAAAGAGCAACCAGTGAAAACAAAAACATATCTATAAAAATATAATTTCGACCGTTTTAATTATCATCTGAATCGGAATACGGAACAAAATTATTATTTGCAGATATGTAGGAATCCCAGTGTTCCAAGAAGTCATACACAAATATGCGCATAATTTTTATCATATTACGAATGGTAGGATAGTGTAAATTTTCTTGATTATCAGCAGCCGTGTAAAGGACTTTTGGAAATTCGTGTGGAGCCACATGCATGACTGGAACACCTGAAGAGTATAATAATATATCGGTATATAAATATCGGTTAAAAAAGGATGTGATAATACTGTTACCAAGTTCATTGAATAAAATATGATCGTCAAGCAGATCATTGTCGAATTCTTTTATTTTGTGGAACAGCACATGGCAGTCGGTTAGTTGTCCCGATTTTCGAAGATCTAGTTCTATGTCAGTAACAAGATCGTGCAGATCCTCGCTAACTTCAAAGTAGTTATAGTAAGTTTGATTCGGAGCTCCAATATAGCTAAGGGTTAGTGCAAGAGCCTGCATAAAAGAGTTGACATAAATTATTATTTTTAATAATAAGTTAATACTATAGATTTTTTTTTTAAATCGTTTATACTTACAATCTTTTCCAAAGGTATAATATCATCTTCTATGAAGCGACTTGAACCAATGAGTTCGTCTTCATCTTCATTATCCGAAGTCACAGGATAGTGGCCATCAAAGAAGATAAGCTTTAAAAATCCTATCATTAATTGTAAATTTAAATATCTTCACATAACCTCTTACAGCCAGACCCATTCCACTTTTTTTGGACAACTTCTCCGCTAAGAACAATCCCAAAGTTTTGGCCAGGTTTAGGAGAATGGCACAAGAAACAGCGCCTTCAGTGGCTGAGAGAAGAATGTCCTTGTCCCATTCCTTTGGCTTTCTGCTATCATAGTGACATGTTAGCATTAGAATATGCTCCGCCTCCTTATTCCAATAACCCGCCAAATTGCTGAAATTGGCGCCTTCTTTGAAGTCAAACCGTTGAACGGTGAACTCCAAACTCTGCAGCTCCTTCTCGATAAAGTCCCGAACCTCAGAATGTCCCGGACTACCCACATATCGAGGCTTTAATAGATTCGCCAAAGTTGCATTAAAGTGCTCCTCATCGTCAAAGAAAGTAAAAGGCAGCTGTTCAGCAGCCCATCGCAGTAACATTGTATTAAGTACCACATATACCACGCTCACGAAAAAGGCAATCCTACCGAGCATTGGAAAAAAGTCTTCCTAGCCAGTCTACGACTGGCAGTAGCTGGTGAGTAAATTTCTGGCCCAGAACTAAGCGTTCCCAGAATTTTTCCCGTAACAAAAGCATTCGTCACGAAGGTTGGCAAACTGGTTTTTAATTAACAAGGTTAGACAAAACAAATTTTCCCAGTAGCAGAAGCTTCCGTTTAAAAAAGTTGTCTTCTATGTCTATGTCTATGAAGTTTATCTCAGTTTTGATTTAACACACAAGTAAACAAGAAAGTAATCCATATTAAATATTGATAGAAATGTTTTTTGACTTAAAAAAAGAATTTTCCCATTGCAAGTACCTAAATGATAAACCCACAAAATAACTTAAAGATAAGCTCCGTCCTTATCTTGTGGAAACACTTATCCGTTTCCATATTTATAGGTTCGGATTTCCCTTTCTTCGCTTTTATTTTCGCTGGGCGACGGACTTGGGTCCTCGGGCACAGATCTTGACTTGCGAATCATCCTGCTGGATCGAAACTCTTCCTTTGATAAGGTCCTTAAGCTGGAGCCCTGGTGCCAAGTATGCCGGGCACGGGACTTCCTTGAACCTGGGCCACAGCAGGGCATATGCCAGATCCTTTGATTCCGTCCGAACTCAGCTCCATCACTGAGAGTTTGCGGTAGTTCGTGATTCAGAGTTTCCGGCAAAAGAAGGGCCAGAAGACCGCCCATAATTCCCAGAACACCCAAAACGATTAGCATTTTGGACAAGGACACTTGGGCAAGGTAAACCACTGGTGGGGACATCAGCATCGACACAAAGCCCATTGTATGGATAAAGGCCACTCCTTGGGCTCTCACCACTGTGGGCAGTATCTCCGCAGCCCACTGTAGCCCTATGTTATAGCACATGTTGGCGAAGAATCTCCCGGCTAGCGCTGATATCCTCATATGCGATGGATTCTTCAAACAGGCCCCGACCAGACTGAATATTCCACTCAACGAGGTGTAAGCAAAGGAGCACCAGCGACGTCCACAGCGATCCAGAGTAAGGATCACCAGGATATTACCCGGCAGCTCAGTGGCACAAGCGATGGTGAAGAACACAAAGATATTTTCAGTGTCCAGGACACTGGCCGCCCGCACATGTCCATCGTAAACCAGAGACATGGCCATCCAAATAAGGATCAACAGGACCATATGGAGGGCCGTTCGCTTCCGCTTGAATATCGAAAACACGGTAAAATCACGTCCGTAGAGTTCCTCCTTATAAAACTGCGTGCAGCTCGACTCGAAGATTTCCAAGACATGCTGAGACACATACTTTTTATTAACCCTGATCATCTTTTTCAATATCTCCATGGCCTTTTCGATATCACCGGTGGAGACCAGCCAACTGTAATGGATAATATGGTTTTCTGGTTTTCATATGGCTTTAGGCAAAACCTACCGTGCAGATTCAGATAGCACACAGAAGGAAAACATCGCCAACACAATGGGTAAGGATGCCCATGCGGAGAACCTTCTCCAATTTCCTGCTGCAAGGGCTATCCAGGGCATCAACATCGTGAAGGGGGAATAAAACAGGGCCAGTGACAAGTTGGCCACCAGGGTGCGGTACTTGGGACCCACATACTCGAGAACTGAAAATTTCAGAACATATAAAATAAATGTATTCATTATTTCTACAATTTCTAATTTATAAATTTGATCCACTTGCTTACCTAAAATATATACCATCGTAAAGCAGGTGTCGTAAGAGAGACCGACTAAAAATCTTGACATTGCAAAGGAGAAGAAGTCCGTGGACATCGAGGTTGCAAAGCTGCCAATCAAGGCCAGGAAGCAGCTGCTAACCAGTGCCGCCACCCGACCGCAGTGATCGGCAAAGTGTCCGTAGGCCAGACCTCCCAGAATCGAGCCCAAGAAGAAGATGATCTGGGCATACGTGGAGTACTTGTCGTTCTCGCATAACCAGCCAAACTCCATGGTGGCCGATTCGAAGGGCGGGCCCTCCTGTTCGAAGACATATCCCTTCCGGCACGGAATCGTCGGCAGGGAGGTATTGATATAAACACTCTGGTCCACTGCGAAGTGGATCTCAGTGTAGTTGGTGTCGTACATCCTGCAGCGACTATACGATCCATCCTTCTCCCTCGGAATGGACAACTGCATGCGCAGCTCCACACTCTGCGTATGCTCAAGTTCCGGCACTAAGCAGTAGTATTTGGATGGAGTTAGGGACATGAATATCTGGCCCAGATACACAAAGGCGGTGATGAAGCAGAAGGGTATCATGAACAGGAACAGCATCACCTGGAAACGGCCGAATTGGCCAATCATTGGCAGGATATCATCGAAATCTATATAATCCTCCGTCTCCCACGATCGGCGTGGTAATGAAGTGATCGATCTTTTTCTTTCCCAAACCGAGATATGGGAACTATCTTCATCTTGCGGCTCGACATATCTTACTTTAACCTGATCAAAGGAATCAGTGGCTTGAATTCCAATGTCCCTTTTCTCCGGCTGAATGTAAAATGATCTGTTTGAATTGACAAATGGGAGGCAAATTCCTAGTTATATCACTTGTACTTACGGCTTCTTGGGCTCTGACTGCTGTCCCTGATCCTTTTTTCCATTTTTCCTATGCCGGTCGTTATCTTCTGATGATCCATTTTGATTTTCGTCATTTGCCATATTAAAGCACCAGATAACATCAAAAATATGACTAATAAATCTTGGCTTCTTTTCTAAAGAAAATGCCCTAATAAATGTATGGTAAGATAGGGAAACAAATATAATACAATTTAGAAATGTGTACAGATTTATTATGAATAATCTTTAAAGAAAACATTGCACACAAATTGTAGTAAAAATAAGAACTATGTAAAAAAATTGTAAACCTGTAAATTTTTTTCATCAGGAAGGTAAAACGACATTAATATCGAAAATCACTTTGCTTTTTTTCTTTGGATTTGAACTAAAGAATACGGATTACTAAGTAAATTTACCAATACCTGGGTTATTAAATTTACCAGACAAAGTCCGGATTTCCAAAGTTATTTTGTTATGTTATTTTTATTTAAAGTATATTCGAAAATTTTAAGCTTGAGATGTATTGAACAATTTGTTTTTGTAGCTTGACAATTAATGGATTAGGAATCCTCACTATCATCGCTCGAACATTAATCCCCTTTAATCCCATTTAATCAGCACTGACTTGTTAAATTCTTGATGTTCTTTTACCAGGATGACTTGATGTTTTTCCATGCCAGTGCTCTGGCTACTTTCGCCTTCATTTCCGATTCGGTGGCATCAACTGAAGCACGAAATGGGCATTGTCATTGAACTCAATACGACTCCACGGCGCCATCATTCCTCCTCTGAGGCTGGCCCATCTCAAAGGCCGCCCGCCGAGCACTTTCCACGTTAATTAAAGGCTTACGCAAATCCAATCGAGAACTAATCCGGAGCAGTAATTTGTGGTATTGGCAAAGCCAACACAGTTTGCGGCTAATTGCATGAAAATTCGGTCAACCGCAGTCAGGATGCAGGAATCCCTAAACCGCCTGTTGCTGTTGTTTTCCTGCAAATGGCGCATGCGTGGAACCCCAGAATCCCGTACCCCCCTAACATTTTCGAACTTTCATTCATAAAAAGTATGCGTACTGCGAACGTTTCGAAGTTGAAACCAATTTGGTTGCCTTCGAGTGCTTCACTAAGCCAGTCTCGATGCGACTTTCAATGACGGCGGTTCTTCGCGGAGTAGCTAGTCCTCGGATCCCACACTTCGGTCCACATAAATATGCCCGGTCATGCCACATAAATCAGTGTCATAAATCTGCGTGTCTTGTGTATGGAATTATGTGTCAGTGTCCCGCAAGCAGCCACAAAATATCCTAGATATTTATCTGCTGAGTGGCAAATAAAAACTTGGCTTAAGAAAAAAACAACTAAGGCAAGCAAATTAACCGTTTGGCGGGAAACGAGATAAAGTGAAAACCCCGCGGGTGAAAGTGTATAAAGTCAAGTGAAAGTGGCGGCTGCCGTCCCCCCAAAAAATAACATATATATATCCAAAATCCTTTTTGAGCCAGCGTGCTGGGAATGTACATCTGCGAGGCGTGAGCTGGTGAAAGATGGCCATCCTGGAGTCTTGTTGTTTTTGGAAGGATGTGCGTAGCGGCAGCTTTGCCTGCGCCATCTACACGTTGGTGGGTTATTCCTCATATATGAATAATTTGTGAGGATAAGATGTGGCCTGAAGCAAGGAAAATATATCAACATTTTCCTGAACTTTTTCTACCAAACGGCAAGCACTTGCGCAAAGTTCCTTGGTCTTTCCAAACTTTTTAAGCAGAAGCAGTCGAAAGTAATTTTTTGTAATACCCAGTTGAGCACCTACACCAATGTATAATTTGTGGGATTAAGAATTAATTCAAAAAAGTTTTAATAACCCTTGCAATTGACTTTGTCAACGTTTTCTTTATAGCAAAGAAAAGTGTCCTTCAAATAAATTAAAAAAATAAAATCTTGGCTAGTTCTTTAACAGGTATCTTAACGCATTTTATTCCTGCTAATTTTGGGTGTGATTTTTGAAAGGTTTTATATTGGTGGCGACTTAGGATTGAGTCACAAATTAACCCAAAATGTTTATTTCCTTTCGCCCATTAAGTTGTCTAACTTAGAAATTATCTTTGAAATCAACTGAGTAATTTTGACATTTCCTTAACAATGAATTTCAAGCTTTATGTCACATAATAATTTCCTGTCTCATAAATAAGCTTGTTATATTACATTTTCTCAATTAAGAGCTGTCGAAAAGCACTAAATTAGAATGATTTATTACAATAATGAAGGAAATACCTCAGCAAACATATTACCAAGTCGAGTTGCATGCCTCTTTAACAATTACGGCACTCAATTGTCACTCGTTTTGTTTGGAGGGGGGACCGCTTCTAAGGCTTTTACCACACATAACAAACGTTTGTCGGTATTTCCGTGTTCCCCTAAACATTTCCTGTAATTTTCCACAATTTTTCCATACAGGTTTACTTTGGCTTCTCGACGCTGATGTTTTTGTTCTACCTGTTCGAGGAGCAGGATTTTCTGCTGGGAAACCGTGCTCAGCCGATGGGTGAGAGTTTGTTGGAGAAGGGCGATGTGACTGTAGGTGAGGAAACTGAAGGATACTGTGGTACTGAAGGATACTGTAGTTCCGAAGGATACTCCATGCAACGTATGGTTCCCGGGAACCGACTCAATTACGTGTGATTTATGCCTTTTGCAGTGACTGTGATATTCAACGTTTTGTTACTGTTTTGCTCCATACTGATGGTCCTGTCGTCGGTTCTCTTGATATTGGGTCTCCGGCAGGTGAGTGTGTTGAAGCGTACTTTGTCCACCTCAATTACCGACGGAACCTCCATTCCGCCTGAATTCGCAGAGCAAGCGGCATCTGCTGATACCCTGGATCTTCTTCATGCTGGGCGACCTGCTCATCGAGGTCTGCCACCTGGTGCACTTGTCCCTCTCCCGCCGCGTCAAATTCGATCCGATTGTGGGTTTCATCTTCACCATGGACTTCTTCCTCCTGTGCCTCAACGTGAGTTCAAAAGGCTTCAAAATGCAATCACAACATTGAATGGATTGACGATTCGCACTGCATTTGTTATTTATATGCTAATTTGGCCGTTAGCCTTCAAATTATATTCACATTATAAATATTATTATAAACATTTTCAATGCCAACTTAAATGCATTTCAAAGCGAACAAAAAATCAGAACAAAAAAATTGTATCTTAAATCTGTTTATTTATATTTATTATTTATTTAAAAGCATTAAAGAAGAAAGAAACAGAAAAATGTGTAAAGTTGTATTTTAGGTAAAGTTATTTTTAATCTTTAAAAAATTAGATTTTTTCAAAAACCTTAAGGCGTCTTATGTTTTTTTTTAAGTATGGTAATGTTCTTATAACATATTAATCTATTGGTAATATTTACTTAAATTTTTAAATGTAACTTATGATTTTTAACCATCAAAAATGTTTCTATGCTCTAAACACTTTCGGGACGGAGTTTTATTTCTAAGCCAAATCAAACGTTTTAGAAATTTCTGAAAGGTAGCTGGTCCTTGGAAATATAATATCAATTCATATTTTTAGTAGAACATATTAACCCAATAAATGTAAAACTAGTTTCTAGGCCTTTTACCCCTGAAGTCCCGAAAGTGTTAAACACTTTTTTAAGTGTAGGATTGGCGTGTTCGAACACCTATTAACTCATAACTTGCCCTTTCAGCTCTACTGTCTGCTGTGCGTCATCTCGCAGTACCAGACCTTCCGCTCCCAGCGAGCGGAGCTGCGACAGGCGGACTCGGCGGCCTCGGTAGGTATTCGGTGAATGTGTTGTGCCACTCCCAAGTATGCTTACCTGCCCTCCCCCCTTGAAACAACGTGTGCCTCCCGTCCAACCCAAGCCTATTGTGGTCTTCACAGCGGCCGAGAAGCTAGCCAAATCGCAACAGCAACTGCAGCAAACGCATCAGCAGCAGCATCAGCACAATAGTTTGCTGCAGCAGCTGGAGACCGGAAACGGAAATGGGAAGCGGCGACGTATGTTGGGGGCAGCCAGCCCGCTGATAACCTCGCAGCGGCTGACCAACTTCTCCACCATCACCGAGGAGGAGGAGCAGCAGTCCAGGTCAGGTAGGGTTCGGCGTGGCCCCATCAGGGGCATTTTTAATTAAGCAAAAATTTAAAAAATAAATTCCAACTAGGCACCCATTCGGAGCAGTCGAATGGAGAGCAACTGGGCCGAATTCCAATTATCAGTCTGGCTGCCAGCCCAGCTCATTGCAGTGATGCAAGTGAAACTCATCACTAAGCCAACGTTACGTGTCCCCAATACCAATCCCAGCAGAGATTTAAGCAAGAGCTCAGATATTTTTACAAACTGATTGACCCGAGACAGCTGAATAAAAGGAAATAAGAATTTCAGTAGGCATACTATTCTTTGAAAACAAGCCTTCATCACCTAAATACACACACATTTCATTCATTTACATGCCAGCTCCATGGCAACGGAGCACCTAAAAGTAACTTGGGGGCGCATCCAGACCTTAGGAAGTCCTAAATGTCCTAGGAAGTTCAACAACCAAACAATACTGCCCTGCACGACCTAGCTTACTGTTAAATAAAGTACGGGCTTAGTGATATAAACGAAACGGGGAAAATTTTGTGCAACGAATTCTTAGAAAGATTTTTATAGGTCGTGCTGAGATTTCAATAACATTTAAACTTTTCTTCTCATTAAAAAACCGAAAAATAATAAACCATATCCAAATGTTTGTTCATAACATTTTTCGCTTGAAATTCTTGTGTGGCAGGATTTTAAAAATATGCTTAATGGGTGGAGATGTAGAACTTTTTAAATCGATCCGAAATTGATTGCCCTTACTAGCTTTTATGATTGTTTCACAAACGCCAAAAAGTAGGCAATACATTTTATTAGCTACTGATCTATATTTTATTATCGTACAATAAACAAGAAATTTTAATGGAAATTCAAGACGGTGGAAGAGGGAGTTTACAAAAAACTTGAAATAAGGTCAAATAGCTAGCCCTAGAAAGTTTGTCGCAGAAAAGGTTGAGTTATTGAAGTTTGCCTGTACCCCTTGAGCAAATTCCGTTTCTTCACAATGGCAACAGGATGAAGCCCAGTTTAAGCTCGAGTGCTTCCCCAAGCCAAACTATTCAGTCACTGGTCCAGCTGGCCATGTCTGTCATTTTAAAATAATTATTCAAATGCTTAAGCTTCACCCGGTCAGACGGCCGCAGGTCAAAAT